GGGCATCTCCCCATGGTTATTTTCTTTATGCAGCCGACCAGTACATATGTGTGTGTGTGTATGTGTGTGTGTGCGCGTGCGTATGTGTGTGTGTGTGTGTGTGTAAGAGAGAAACAGAGAGACAGGGGGGGGGGGGGGGGCATAGACAGAGACAGAAAGACAGACAGGCAATCAGACAAACAGGTGAACAGACAAACAGATAAAGAGAGAGAGGTCGCAAAAAATCGAAAAGAACTGTTTAAAAAAATGTTGAACAATATACGAAAATACACAGGAGTATAGATCTATCTTTTGTCTGGCCCAGGCTGCTGCTGGGTTTCATGCTGCCTACCTGGTTCCTGTCTATGTGGGTGAACAATACGTCAGCCACGGCTATGATGATCCCTATCGTAATGGCCGTGTTGCAAGAACTGCGACTGATCCAGTCTAAAGCGAGGGGAGTTGACACTAATGGATACCACGACAGGGACGAAAGAGGTGAAGGTATTTACAGCGAGTTGCCAAATCATCGTCGTCATCATCATCATCATCATCATCATCATCATCATCATCTTCATTCTGTACAGCAGATAGTAAAACGGTTAAGACCTTGGAATATTTCCAAAATATTTAATCATAAGTTCAACGTTTCACCCTCAACGGGCTTCATCAGGAACCTTCAAAATATAAATGACTAGATCTACTCTAGCTGTAAAAACCAAAACACCAGCATCATCATCATCATCATTGTTTGGAAAGCAGAGTAGGGGGGGGGAGTCTTGTTTGAATTTCAGACAAAATAACATAACAAAATTAAAAAGTTTAAAATTTGTTTAATAGACTCAGCTGAACTTTTCGCCTCTCGGGCTTCCTCGGGAGCAACTGAGAGAAAAACTAAATGAACGCTGTATACTAGCAGTAGGGAAATGGGCCTAACAAAGAGGGTCTTAAGATTACGTGTGGTTACAAGCTAGACGGAAGTGACTCAGAGCGAGCCATGCCAAGTGGCTAATTATAAAGAAATTGATGCTGGTCTAGCAAGGGTATCAAAGAATTTATCTATACAAGAAGCTGACAGGAAGTTAATTGTGTGAACGTGGGATGAACAAGGGAAATGTTTAGGCGTACTTTATAGAGGCAATCCAGTTTGAGGCAAAAGGAGGGAGAAAGAGGAAGGATGTGTATGTGTGTGTGTGTGTGTGTGTGTGTGTGTGTGTGTGTGTGTGTGTGTGAGAGAGAGAGAGAGAAAGAGAGAGAGAGAGAGAGAGAGAGAGAGAGAGAGAGAGAGAGAGAGAGAGATGGGGGGTGGGGGTGTCGAGTTTATGGAGGGGGAGGGGGGCGAGTGAGGGAGACCTGGTACAGCCGTAACAACAGCAGTAATAACATGATGACATACACACACATATATATACATACATACATACATACATACATACATACATACATACATACATACATACATACATACATACATACATACATACATACATACATACATACATACATACATACATACATACATACATAGGGGGCTCTCGTGGCCTAGAGGTTAATACATACATACATACATACATACATACATACATACATACATACATACATGCTTTTATACACGGATACATACGTGTATGCATATGCATATAAGTACAAATGGCAATATTATATATATATATATATGTGTGTGTGTGTGTGTGTGTGTGTGTGTGTGTGTGTGTGTGTGTGTGTGTGTGTGTGTGTGTGTTTGTGTGTGTGATTAAACTTGTGTGTGGGGGGGTAGATAGGTGGGTGGGAAGATTTATTTAGGCGAAGAGAGCGGGATAGGCGTTGAAATAAAAAATATCCTGGCGATCAGACACTTCATCTGCATGAGGGAGTGGCAGGGGGGGGTTTTCAATCTCTGAAATGTGGCCATCGATTTTGAGGCCGGAGAGTGTTTAATGTTAAGATTTTTTTGTAGGGTTTTTGACAATACCTATACCCTGAAGCTGCATATCAAAATGTTGACCGACTGGGGTGCATGAATGGTTTTGTACTGAGTACCTGTGGTTGTTAAATCTAGCCCTAACAGTGGTGGTGGTTTCTCCTACATATTGGGCTGAGCATATTTTGCATGCTATTAAGTAAATGTATTTTTAGTTTCGCAGTCGATGTTATCTGTAAGGACTTTTTTTGAAAAGAGTGCCCTCTACTTGGTTGGTTTCTGTCATGAAAGGGCAAGTTTTGCACCTAGGTTTCTTGCAGGGA